AGCTTGAAAAAACTATTCTTGCTAATTTTCAGCTACTTAAAAGTTGCTGATGCAGTTGTTTTTCATCTTTTTGATATTCGTCGTTCTGATTTACCTTTATTTCGTCTACCAAGGCAGTATTATGTATTCCTCAATATGGAGCCGTCTGAATACAGAATCAGAACATTGGTGAAAAAATATAAAAGAACAAAAAATGATCAGGATTACCAAATTCCAGATAATTTTTTTAACCTGACAGTTACATACAGGTGATAATTATTTCTTCTTTTTTAACTCATAATTTAACTATATTACTGCGCTTATTTTAAATGAATGGAACTGAAACAGAAAATTTATTTTTGAAAACTAGGTGTGCAACTTTTCTGCTGCTGATGTTACAGCATTTTTTTAAAAACCTAGAAAACTAAACTTTTAATTACCAACTTTCTTTGATGTATTTTCTGGTGGACGGTCACTAACTGTTGAAGTTGGGTTGAAACTTTTACATTACTTATTTCGATTTCCTAGTTCCAACGACAGAAGAAATTTGTTAACTAACGAACTTGTCTTAGTGACTGTGTAATAGTAAATAAAAAAATAAAAACAATAAATAAATATGCAAAACGGTTCACTAGATACTTACTGTTTTAATAAACAAAAAAGTTGTCTTTCATTTCCCAACATTTTTCTGCGACACCAACATTATGTTTGTGAGAAATATTGTTGCTCTAAACTACTTTTTTCTAACCAACCTTTGAAAACACTCTGTTTAATTAATAGTCATTTAAAACTTTTTATTGTCTTTGATTTCACAAACATAAAAAGATTTTTTTTTTAAATTTCTGATAATTGAGTGATAATTTGTCCTCTAAGCGATAACGGTGACTTCCTGCAAAAGTGCAATACTTTGTACGCTTGTTTAAAAACAAGGTTTTACAGAGATTACTGTCAAAAATATCTCAAGAAAATTAGTCGACGGTATTCTTTTTTAGTTGCTTTAAGTATATCTTCTTGAAACGCGTAAATTTTTTATCTAAATTCTGGATCATTTCTCGTAACGTTTTTGTTACATGTATAACAACTGTCAAAATAATGTGGAAGTGCCAACTGTTCCAAAAAACTGAAATTTCAGGAATATTATTTAATTGTTTTTAAGGACAGATTCAGATATATATGCTCCGTATGGTCACTTTTTAAGAATTGAGGAAAGTAGGCGAAGAAGTAATCGCGTGCAATATGTAAGAATAAAATGTTTGTTTGAAATAATTAAATTTTTTCTCTTGCTCCTGCATTTTCTGAACTTTTCCCTTTTATTTCGTTCAATTGATTAAGATCTTCAGGATGTGAAAAGCATTTTTGAACGACCAAATCTTGTGCTGCAATTAGTGTCCAACTGTAGAACGTCATCTCGTCGAGAAAATTACGTTAAACAACTGAAGCGATACATACGTATTACTCAACTTGGCAAATGTTTTGGTGGAAAGTGTTCACCGGAGTGTGAAACTCGTGCCATTAGTATGCTTGACATGCTTTTCTAATGCAAAACTGTTGTAATAACCGTAAAAGATTACCGTCTGGCTTCGCAACAGAGTGTAGATGAAAGTACTGCTGTAGCTGCTGACTTATCCTTACCTGTCTGTCTCTAATCTGCTACAAAAGTTTTTTTATCAAAAAAAAACCAATTTTTTAAGAAAGTGTTGCTTATCTCACCATCCAAGATTTGAAGGAATTAGCGGCGATTTTCATCAAAGTTTCCTATAATTTGAGGCTATTCAAGAGACCTACCTGACTGTACAAAACATCCAGAATTTTATAACTTTGTTGGTACTACTTTATTTTAGGTAAACACAAATTTTACTTATCTTTTGAAAATAGTGTTTGTCAAGACTACATTTCGGAGAAAATGTTTCGTCGGCTTGGACATATGTTGCCAGTTGTTTTAAAGAGGTCAATATATTCCGGCTTTATTCCGGATGACGCTTTCATTGCAGCAGACGATTTTAAGTGTCCGGAAGATCTGGCGAAATACCTAAGGTATTTGGGCGGTAATTATACTGCGTTTTCTAAGTAGGTGTTTAAAGTTATTTGTTTGTTTTTTAGACTTCATTAGTTTAGGTGAAACTAATAACATTTCAAAAACTATTACTCATGTGAAAGAAATTTTTTTAGGTTTTTACATATTTGTAGTGAATAAGGTAAAAGTACCATGAAATTTCTGAACATACATTAAGCGCATAAAATGTTGTCAGATTTGGTTAAAATTTTACTTTATAAAAGTGTTTTGAATTTTTGACTTCAATTTAATACGTTAGAATTAAATTAAAAAATTTATTGGTTCAAGTTGTCTTCGCTTTCCTTTTATGTTAACTTTGATTAGCTTACTGTAAATAAACATTAGTTTACTTCTGAAAGCTCGAGAAAGTAAGCACATTTTTGTCTCCAACAAAGAACAATAATAATGCTATTCTTAGAAATTTTGGCAAATCATTGAATTACAACGTCATTACATCGCTTTCAGTTTTTATTTATTACCCTTTTCTCTGCATACTATTGATTTATTACTCGCATTTAGAAACGATTTAATTTATTTTTTTAATTATTTCAAATAATACACTCTGTAGAAAATGTGTAATTATTTGCTCATTATCGCCAAAAAAACAGTAAAATTTTTGTAAACAGCAGTTTACAGAAAAAGACAGTAGAGTATAGAAAAAGAGGCAACTTTTATTGAGAAAAAATATTGGTTTTCAGGTACTTTGAGTGGACAAAGCATTGGAAATTAGAGCGGGAAAATCACGCATGTCTTCTGTGTAAATTTCTTAATGAAAAAAACGGTACTGTGAAAACTTTAGCAAACTTCAGGGAGTGGTGGTATGACGATAAAAAATGTGAAAAGTACTACGCGGACCGCTTAACTTGCCATTGACAGCTGTAGTAAACTTTTTCGTTTCCTTCTATAGCACTCTATTTGAAAGTGGTATTCTGACGTGGGTTCCATCAAACCCTTCGCTCTCCTTTATACCCCTTAATACTTCTTTTATATCGTATTATAAAGAACGACCTCTCAGATTTGGCTTCTCCTTTGAGAGATTTTGCTGCTCCAATTTACAAAGACAAGAATC